CACCTCGTCTACGAGGGACAGGACGATCACTGGCTTCTCGAGTATCCTTATGGTTAACATACATCCAATCCGTGCCTTGACGCGCTTCATTAGTGAGAACAGAAAACAAATGTTATACAGACTACATCGACAGATTATAATTCGGAACACTTTCTATCCAGAGTTTTGTCACCACAAAACACGTTAACAAAATCACAGGGAATTTATCAGCAATCAGAGAGAACAGTAATCTTCATCAACTGGGAAACCTCTACATTGCATCGAAATGTTCGATTTCTGTTGGTATACGGGCTCCTATGACGGAAGCTTCCACGACAGGTGTCTGAAGGCTAACACAATGACTAACAGTCAATTCAAACATGTGCGTCTCAACTTATTTGAAATTATTCGTCGTCAGTTGGATGTATCTGTCTCTTCAGTGAGTGATCGTTTGCCCTCTCCCCCCACCCCCGCACCTCCTCTAACACTCGAAATTAATACTTATTGTTTCAACAACCAAAGTCTTATCCACAATCTCACCAGAATCACCTCTTCCTAAACAGTTAGCACTCGTCACTTGTCACTCATCAAACACCAACCAAATAACACCACATGAGTCTTCAGATGTGGCTTTTCAAACGATCACTGCTCGGTTCGTCTCACTGGGATCATCACCAACACCAACAACCACTGGAGAGAAGGGACAGATATCTACAGTTGTTGGCTCTTAAACAGGACAAAATGTGCATCTACTCAAGTGGATTTCATTGTCAGCAAACTAACCAACTAAATGCCATGATTTTACCACATATCAAAAGATATCTTCAGAACATGTCAGAAACAGCGAAACACAAACTCCGTATTATTACTCGCATAACCAAAGATGATAGTAAAATTGAATGTAAACACTAACAACAACAATCACAATCATAATCGTAGACGTACCTGTTGCTGTTTTCTTCGGCTGACACAGTTTCTTAAGCACAGAACGACGGGATGAACTGACATTCGAATCAAGATCAACAGGCAACGAGAGATTTGACAGGCTGGAAGAATAATCAAAGCACAACATTCACTAGGATCATTGCGTAAATCAGTGTAGTTAATATTACAGTATATTAACTACACGCGTCGGTGGTATAGCGGTTAGGACGCTCGCCGATCATGCACATGGTCCGGGGTTCGATCCCCGGCCACGGACGCACTCCTTTACCTCACTGAGCCAGAAGTAATGCTGGTATAGAGGAAAGGTTGGGCATGAGGCTAGCAACCCCATCCTGTAAAATAAACACTGCTACAGAAACTTCAAGCCACTAGCTTGAAGCCCTATGTTCCACTGGGGAACGTGAAGGATAAAAAAAAATATTACAGTTCACTGATGAACCGTAACAATCGTCAGCTTATACGAAAGTAAGTTTCCGTTAAAGTACAAAGCCTATACACACATTGTGGCTGCACTGACCTATTAACAGCAGCTACAAGTATTGTGATACCTCCTGGAAAATCAACGACACTTCACATTTGACTAATAAAAAACTACTAGATGCCATCGGACTTCTTTACCTCATCTAGTCCACAGTAAGCCAGAAAGGGTTTCACCCCGAACGAACAACTGGCCAGTTATACCACACTACACTTCCATTACATCAAGACAGAAATTGCCTAATAATCTTTAAGCAATTGTCCCTTGAGATGTCTAACCACTTGAAACTAATCCCTCGACCCTGACCAAGATGGTGGGATAGAAAACGAAAACAGTAAAAAGCCACTGCCAACCAGTTATACTAAGTAACTAATTGGACTCCTGAAAGAGATGCTCACTTTTATGCGTCACCTGGTCAGTAGTGTGTTCAAAAAACAGGGAAGCTTAGGAATGAGGCTAGTAACTACCACTTCGTAAGACCAACATCTTTGCCAAAATCTCAAAGCATTGCATTGAAGCACTATGAACCATTTGGATTTCAAGGAATTTAAAAACGGCTGTGAAAATATAGACCAGAAACCAACAACACACAAAAGACAATCAATCCCCAACATCGAATACATACATGATATGTAGAATACTGACTGTTGTGAATGGAAACTTTGACATTTCAATCAGTGGTCATTTTCACATATCCCTAACTCACCTGTCCTTTCTGTCAATTACCATAGACTGTCAATAGTCAGAAATCTCATTCTCCAGAGGAATTTAATTCTTCCTCACTCATTCAATCAAGGAAATAAGTGTCTGTGTGACTCAGTTATTTTGTACTAAGTATTTCTACTTCTGAAAAAAGTGGTCGGTTGTGTCTAACATCCCACTGGATGCCTGCTAACTTGAAGTGCTGGTTGGGTTTGAATGTTGCATCCACTCAACGGGTTAAACTGGCTTGACGGAATGTTTCTGCAGGTGATTCCGTGCCACACAGTCTAAAAGACACAACTTACAACGCCCAACTCTTTTCCAATCCAGCCCTGCAACACCTAACATCGTTCGTTGACGTAGGCGGTGGTGAAGCATGAGTGATACTTGTCTTATCTTCCTCAACCGATGTATGTCTTTCGATTTCACTAGTTAAGCCCCACAGTCATCAATATGGTCCGGACGAACTACCACTGACTGGGAATCTGACGGTAGGGTCGTGTGGCTAGCGTATACAAATGTAGCAGCAGTAAAGGGTTTCCCTCAAACAACTAGTCAGTCATACTACCTTCCTTCTCCGGAGATACACAGATTGGAAACGCCAGTCGTATTTGTACATATATCGCGTTATCGCAAACTCCTTCAGTGAAGTTCTTTCCAAGGACGGGAACGCACAACTTCCATCATATCAAAACACTGTGTACAGAGAGATTCAAACGATTGTCCCCTGAAGTTGGCCACCACATAAAACTTGTCATTCCTGTCTTACCCAACAACCGAAAGTGACTGTTTCATAAGAACGAACCACTAGGTTGTAAGGAGTAACTTATTAGACCAGAGAAACGGGATCTCAGGCCACGTTAAGTGGAATGATCTCCAACAAGAACATAGCACTGCCAACTCCAGTAAGAACTTTCAGGAATTTGTACAGATTACTATGAAGTCGGAAATACTAATAGGAGTCATATAGGGGTGTGTAATCCTAAGAATGATAGTCAAAATTAGACGTCGATTGCTGCCCTAGATCATCAACCTCTGAACCACCTGGTTGAATTTGAATCACATGACCAGACAATGTCAACAAACTTAACTATAAATCCCGTGGGAAAGCAGATTTCCAACAGGCCTAACCAATGAAAGTTGTGGTGTTTAGAGAATACCTGAATAGTGTTGGCAACACCGACCAACACGGATGTCGCCCGTCCACATATCCAAACGCTAACAAACGTACATATCGATGACTGATCACATCATTCCTATCAGTGAACAAAACGATATGTAGGAAAATGAGTGTCAAATTCTACCAGCAGTGATATGACACAAGAAAATATCTGTGAGTACTTACTTCAACTGTTCTGGCACCGTCGCTGTCTTCTTTCTCTTGATACCACCTTCAGCCAGTGGGATGTGTGGTGTTTCTAAGTTTAGCTCCTTGATACCTCGTTTGGTAGAGCCTTTTGGCGTACTTGAATAGACTGGAGATCCCGCCATCGAAAAAAGTCAAACCAAAGCCAGCCAACCAACCGCCCGAAGATATTTGATGTGATATGTGACTTAGCTAAACAACGATGATGCGAAAGTGCGACAAGTGTGAGGAGGCATGTCTAGAAACTGCCTGATTCGATTTCAAAAGCATGCATTATGATTATCACAAAATAACTTCTGAAAGATACGAGAACTTATTCTCATGACTGAAACGCGAATATTTGGTGTCCATTAGACCAGCTTTAATATGCCGATGGATTTCTGCACATATGCACAAAATTGTCGATTAAACGTCTTCTGTACTGATTGAGTTTCTCTGAGGTAATTTGTGTGAGCCATTTAACCTCTATGTTTTCGTTATACTCTGTCAATTATCAGATTCTAGTTAAATTCTCGGGTGGATTTCGTTTCTGTTTACACTTGACACCTACGTACTTCAATACTGAAGGAGGTCATCAAAATTCTTGCTATAAACAGCCAACTGAAGTTGAGAGGTGTAGATTTGAGGATATAAATTAGCATGGATGATTGGAAGAGTGGACTAGGATGCTATGGAAATGGTTCACCTGGATTTATTCCCTAATTTTGATTTCCTCACACGCTATAAATCGACGAGGAACACATTTTATCATGAAAACCAAAATGTTTTCATAGTCCTTTTCTACCGTTTTTATAAGGCCTCTCTAGTGACACTGAACATAAGTCCAGAAGCTTAAAGTCCACTTGAGATGCAGAAAATTTTGCCAGATGTTTTTCCCTAGATTTCCTTGATATTAGGAAGTGACAACATAGGGATTAGCCACACAACAATCTCGGATACCATCCCTCTAGGCACACCATAACCCAGGAAGCCAACTTCATGGCTGAAGACAGGGACACAGCATATTCTGCAATCAAAGCGGAAGGCTCAGTCTTCATGGCGACTCTCCAAGAGTCAGACTGATCACGATGCCTACGTGGAACTCAGGAATACATGAATTCACGACCCTCAACTTAATGTCGAAAATGACGTATAGGACAGTACATAGCCAGAAGTTCTCTTCCGAATGTGCTGTACTTGATTTCAGCTAATTGAAGGCGCCTCGAGGAAAAAGCGTGTGGTTGCCACTCTTTGTTAACCAGTTGTTGCAGACCTGCTCCGATTGCGGTGTCTGATGCATCAACCCGAGATACTTAACGGTGCCGTTGGATCCTGATACATTAGAAGTGTGTCATCCACAATAACTCTTTTAACCTGAGTAAAAGCATGTCGAGAAGACGCGTCGAGCTCAATGGATTTGTTGTTACCTCGAAGAAGGTCTGTCAATGGCCGAATCAGAGAGGCACAGTTAGGAATAAACCGTCAGTAATAACTTACCAAGCCGTTAAAAGTGCGAAGACTTTTCACTGTTTGTGGCTCTGGAAAGTTCCGTATCGCCTCGGCTTTAGTAAGCAGTGGGTGAGTGCCCTGGCAGTCAATAGTGTGATCCAGGAAGTCGAGTGAGTCAACGCCTATCTGACACTTTTGGATATTGACGGTAACACCATGTAGGCGTAACCTTTCAAATGCCAATTCCAAGTGTCTAAGGTGAGTTTCCTTGTCTGAACTGGCAATGAGGCAGTCGTCTAAGTATGCATATACAAAGTCGAGACCGCGAAATACTTCGTCGACGAAGCGTTGGAACGTTTGTGCTGCATTCCGGAGGCCGAATGACTGAACCGAATGTTTTCGTCATTTCCAAACTAGTGAGATGCTGACCATTTAGATCCACTAAGGCGCTGGCTCCCTGCTTCTCTCCTCGATCTTGTGTCCAGTAGGCTCCGTCTCCACTTCCTTGAGATTGAAATGAAGTCTATCTGGATTTAGGGGTGTCCCTCTGGTGAAATCCATGTCGCCCTGTGTTTGAACACACTGCCACCAATCACCAGATCATTGAAGGCGCAGAAGTCTGAGAAGAGTTCACCACTATCGTTCATTTCACCGAGGGTCTCGCGACCCACGGTGAGTTCTCTTCCCGTATTGTCTCCTCCCAACTTCGCATTCATATCACTCATCAGGATTTTGATATCGCTCTTTGGGACGTTGTGCATTACTGTTTGTAGTTGTCTGTAGAAATCCTCCTTCTTCTCTTGTTCTGAGACGTTTGTATGTGCATAGCATTGAATGATTGTAACCTTCCTTCCTTTCGAGTTGAACCTGGCTGTCATTATCCTGGAGGAGATTGGTTCCCACCGCATGAGAGCTTTGGCTGCTGTTGGTGACATCATGATGGCCACTCCCTCGGTATGCTCGTGATTGTCCTTTTGGGTGACCGGAATAGATTACTGTCTCTCCAGTTGATAGTTGGCACCTTCCACATCCGTTCCATCTGTTCTCGCAGATTCCCAACACTTCTATTCCATATCTTCTCATTTCTGTGGCTACCTGGGCTGCCTTTCCAGCTTCGTACATTGTACGAATATTCCACGTCCCCATCCTTGTTTTTGCTTCCATCGAAAGGAGGCACATCGGCTGACTGGCTTCCCGAAGGCTTTTACCAGCCTGCGTCATTTCACTTCCTCGATTCCAACGAAATATAAAGTTATTGTTAATATTTTGAATATATTTGTGCGTTGAAGTTTCTGTAGCAATTTGGTTAATTTTTGGGGGTGGAGTTGCTAGCACCACGCCCCAACCCTCCCTCTTTATCCGGGCTCTGGACCGGCTAGTTTAGGGTTAGGATTAGAAAAATTTGCATGAATTGACATATAAAATGTGCTTGATGAATTTCAATAGAGTAATTATAATTATTGAATTAGTATTCTATTGCGACACTGGCAGGCATTTTCGTGACACTTGAGAGAATGATGTCCTGTGTAACAGTTCCATGCCATTTTATTTTTAATATTATCGTAAAATATGCACTTAATGTATAAAAATCTCGTTTTCGAAGTAATTAGTTGGATCGCTTCAGTGACGACACGATTTTACTGAATGAGGATATTCGTATTGATTTGTGGTTAAGGTGTTTCATTTCAATAATCAATTACTTACTTGAATATTATTATCACATCAGCCTGAGTGTCTAATATTTTCTTGTAACACTGACTGGGTCATTACTTTTGTCATGCGATGCTGCTGCTTATCTACTAATAATGAATACTTTTCCTATTCTCTAGCCTTTTCCTCCTGATTCTGAAATGGTGAATGATGCTACAGGTTCTCGAAGATGCTTTTATGCATGGATGTTATTGAAAATGAAGGATTTAATTTCATATTCATCGTTATTGTTTCCTTTAATTCCTAGAAGAACATAGGGCTTCAGCCGCACACATCTCTTTTGCGTACAGTTTTCTGCCAACATGTTCATCTGACTCCACGTCTGCCCACATGCTTTCTTCTCTTCACATGATCTCCTCCAAGTCACCCTTGGACAACCAACTCTCCGCTCCCCATTTTGCTTCCACTCGAGTGATGGCCTGTCGTGTGATGTCGCTTGATGGTTTCCTCAGAGTATGGCCAATCCACCAACTGAATTTCTTCTTGCATATCTGTTGCACAATTGGTTCCTGCTGAGTTGGTTCGCTCCCAGAGATCTCTCACTATTGCTAGTCTTCTCCGGCCATCTCATCTTCAGTATTGTGCGAAGACAGCTGTAGATGGTCTGTAGTTTGTTTGAAGTGCCCTTCATGACGCGCAGTGCAAGTCTCTGATCCGTATAGTAGTACTGACTTCACATTGCAGTTGAAAGTCCGAATCTCGATTTTCATGCTGAGTGGTGTTGATTTCCACACCGACTTGAGAGAAATGAAAGCTTGCCTTGCTTTCCCTATCCTCTTCAGTTCCATCTGTAGTTGAAACGATGCTTCCCAGGTGGGTAGGGAGGTAGTTAAAGGAGGTTGCTTCTCTCACATTTTTCCCATTTATGCTGATTGTTGTTGCTGCTGTTGCTGACGGTCAGGAATCTTCATCACCTCTGTTTTCTCTATGTTCTCCTGAAGTTCTGTCTTTGTTGCTTATTCCTCTGTCAACTAGTTACTTTTCACTTGCATATCTTCCAGTTTGTGGGAAATCAGACATATGTTATCGGCGAAGTTCAGATCCACCAAGTTTTTTGTGTGGGTCCATTTTATGCCTGTTTCCTCGCTGCCCGCTGTCTGTCGCATTATCCAGTCTACTGCAGTCAGGAAAATCATTGGCGATAGTAGGCAGCCAGCTTGTCTTACTCCCGTCTTCACTTCTCCGAAGGATTCTGTAAGTTTCCCGTTGTGAATTACTCGGCATGCAGCATTGTAGTACAACTGTTGGATGAGGTGTATAATTATTGGCGCCACCCCGTAGTAGCGAAGTAGTTGCCAAATCACCTCTCGATTGACTCTGTCGAAGGCCTTTTCAAAGTTGATGGAGTCGAGATAGAGAGGTGACTGCCATTCCAAGCTCTGTTCAATGATGATCGGTAGTGTTGCGACTTCATCGATGCATCAATTGTTCCTCCTGAATCCAGCCTGATCGGTCGAAGTTTTGCAACCAGGGCATGTTTGATTCTTAGTATTTTGCTTGGGATAGACGGGAGCATAATGCTGCGCCAGTTCTTGCATTGACTTAGGTCTCCTTTCTTTGGTAGTTTGAATAAGTATCCTTTCTTCCAGTCCTCGGGTACTTTGCCTTCTTTCCACACCTTCTCCAGTAGTGGTGTCATCAAGTCCGCTGTTGTCTCTGGGTCCATAATCAATGCTTCTGCTGGGATTCCATCTACTCCTGCTGCTTTTCCAGCTTTTAGCATCTTGATTGCCTTTAGGACTTCTGTTCTTCTCAGGGGGTTGATGTCCATTGGTAGTTCTGCTTCCGTTGTTGGTATTATTGGGCGCGTTGTAAGTAGCGGTCGATTTACAAGTCTTTTGATGTGTTCAGCCCAGTGTTTCCTTTGCTCCACTTCTTTGGTGATTGAGCGTGATTGAGTTTCCATTGTCACCCTACACTGGCTTAATTTGTGTTGGTCTCTTCCCCAATAGAAACCTACTTGCGTGGTAGAGTGTTGAGAGGTCTCCTTTGCCTGCACTGCAGCTTGTTCTGCTTCACTT